CTGTTAACATTATTATTACTATTATCATTATTTCGGTTATAATAATATTATTATTATTATTACTAGTATAATTTGTGTTATTATGATTAGGATTGTCAGTATTATTGTCATTATCATTATTATTAGTTGTAGTAGTTGTAGCCAGTAATATCATCACTGTTGTTGTTTTTGTCGTCAATCATCATTGGTGTTATTACTACCATGACTATTATCCTTATTATCGTCAAAATAATGTCATGGTTATCGTTGTTACCATTATCAATGTTGTTAAATGTGGTTGTAATTATCATCGGTTTTGATGTTATTACTACCATTATATGCGTATTATTTCTGTTGTTACTGCTGATGTTTTTTTTTTTTTTATCTACATCATAACAATTACATTAATCATTTTTCAGCAGAACTTATAGTGAAACATGGCGGTGCTTTCCCCTAGAGTTTTTACAACTGTCATTTCATCCAGCATTTTTTACCTCCTTCAATTTTTTTCTTTACGAGTACAAAACGGCCTTCGGGATCGTACCAGCAAGCCGCTCCAAAGCACTTCGTTTTTCGAAGTTATTAAAAAGTAAACAAATTAATGCGCATTATCGTAAAAAAGCAGGATGTTTTGAGGCTGTTTTGACGCGATAGGACCCGGCGATAGCGTCAGAGAGATAGTGCCTGTGCGATAAGTCTTAGGTTTAGTACTGCGTCACCACACCCTTCGATATGCATATTGTAAGAAAAGTTATCTATAGTAGTGTGTGTTTATAAAGTAAATTATTATTTGTTCATCCTTTTTATAGATATTGTTTTGAGTGGACATCCATACATGTCTTTTCTTGTTATTTCCATGCATTTATGACCAAGAAGAAGGGGAAAAATGCTTTATGTATAAGGGTGACATAATGTTGATGAAAACAATAATGATAATAATGGTAATAATGAGAATGATCATGTAATAATGATAATAAAGATAATGATAATAATAATAATAATGATAATAATAATAATAATGTCAATAAGAATAATAATGATAATGTCAATAACAATGAGAATAATGATAATAATAATGTCAATAACAATAATGATAATGATAATAAAATAATGTCAATAACAACAATAATAATAATGATAATAATAAGAAGAATCATAATCATAATAATAAGACCTTGCAACTGCAGTTAACCTCTATCAGAATGAATTTCATTTGAAGAAAGGTTCATAAAGGTAATATCCTACCTTCCACTCATTTGGAAGCTACTTACGAGTGACATTGCAGAAGAAATGTACAAGGACTGCAAAAGAAGAAACACGAACTTGATAATGTCGGGTTGATTCAAAGAAAGCGTTCGACATGGCGCCGCACTCCTGGGATGCTGAGTGGTTAAACTTTTTTTTCGGTGTAAGAAACAACGCTAAGACCTTCCTACCGCGCGATATGGAGGAGTGGAGGACGGAAGCGACGGGCCCGCGGGAATTCTTTGGGTGCGAATATATTGAGGGATATTTCAGGGTGATGGTCTCTCCCCTTTGGTCCCTGTAGGTTGCACGGTGCCACTGTGGATGGTACTGGAGAAAACGGCCGCTGGATACGAGTGGGGCAAAGAGCGCTTCAAGGTCAACCGCCCCCTGGATGACGAACTATTCGGGAAGAACCTGTGAACAGGTTGACTCTCAAGTGCAGCAATTTCCAACCATGGGGTCGGCAAGCGTTTTTCCTGGGGTTGCTAAGACTTCAAAATATCAATTGCGGTCAATTCTCAATTTTGAGAGGTTTTCAACCGATAGGTAGTCACATATAAAGAAAATATAACCGTGATAGATTTTTGTTTATGGGATTGTTTATATGTTTATTGAATAATATAGATATAATGATATGATATAAGCCTATACATTGTAGAACTGACTGGGGTTGCGGTCAAGATTGGAGGTGTATGGTTGGGGTCGCCTTAAAAAGGTTGGGAACCACTGCCCTTGTGGAAACAGCTCACCTGTTTAGTAAGGACGGAGGCGTGGATTTTGGTTTGCGAAAATGTAGAGTACTGTGTGTAATAAGAGGCAAATTAGTGACTTAGGAAATACATCTTTTTGATATAGAATTCACGAAGGAGATAGACGAGAAGGTGTATGAATACTTATACATGCTAGTGACGGATAAGATCAGGGAAAATAAAATGAAGGAAGCATTCAGTAGAGTACAAATGAAGGTTGAAATCGATCCTTAAGTCAAAGCAAAATGGGAAAAACAAAATCATCAATAAACACATGAACAGTTTCTGTGTTACAGTGGAAAGGAGGAACATTGAAGTGACTCCTGACTGAGCTTCAGATACTAGACAGAAAGACGAGTAAAATGTTGAACATGCACAGTGAGTCCATTCAAAGAATGACGCCAATAGACTGTACAAGATTAGTCGGATGTGAACAATTTACAGCAAAGGAAGAAAACAACCGGGAAGCTCTTGGGAAATCTGGCGAAAATCTGTTGCAAGGAATCAGGGAAATAAGAGTATTGCAAATCGTAAGCTGTTTAAGGAAGGAAGATTTCAAGACAGAGTTGAACAAAAGTTAGATAACTGGAGAGGGAAGATATATGGCCAATTTGTTATGGATATGAATGATAAAACAACCGATTACGAAAAAAAAACATAGTAACGGATGAGGAAAGCAGACCACAAAGTAGAACGGAAGCCCTCAGACCCAAGTATGTAGAGAACAAAATTGACAAGCCGCAGACTCCTCCTTATGTAGGAAATGTGAAAAACTGGCTCAGAGAGAATAAGAAAGACACCAGGATAATGTTAAAATTATCAATTTGTGAAGGATTCAGTCTAGATCGAACAAATAAATTGTATAAACACAGCCCTCAGTCACTTACGAAAGCATAGATGTGAAACTCCAGTCACTGCCGATAGAAGACCCGATATACTCCTTGTAGACAAGAGGAATCGTTTGCAAAATCACTGACACTTCTGTACCATGAGACAACAAAATGCTAAAAAAAGACCAGGAAAAAAATTAAAAACATCAGGACCTAAAAAAGGAAACAAAAAGATTGTGGGAAACTGACAAAGTAGTAGTTGGGGTCGAAGGAACTGTAGCAAAGAAACCTGACAACTGGCTGAAGGAAAAGGGATATAAGTCAACATAGAAAAAAAATGGTATAAGCAGTGCTGGACCCTTGAGGAGATTGCTTGAATATCAATGATAATTATGATAACAATAATGGTAATAATGATAATAATACCAATAATAATATAGTGATAATACTAATGACAATAATGATAGTGATGATAATGATAATAACAATAATGATAGTGATAGTGATAATAATAACAATAACAATAACAGTGATAGTAATGATAATGATGACAATAATGATAATAACAATAATAATAATAATGATGATAAAAAATAATAATGATAGTAATAATAATAATAACGATAATAACCACCTTATCTTTATAATAATAACGATATAATTCATAAAAGAAAACGATAATGCTAACACCAACATCAGTGACAACAAATCCCCCCCCCCTGTCCAGACAAGCTCCTGGGTTGCGGTGCCTTTCGGCGCGTCTACCGAGCACAGCTGGAGATACCGGACACGGGCGCCCCCCCTGCCACAGTGGCCGTCAAGATGGTGAAATCCCGCAAGGACAAAGTGCAACTAACGCCTTGCAATCGGAGACTCAAGATCCTCATCCACATCGGGCAACATGTCAACATCGTCAACCTGGTGGCCGCCTGCACCAAGAACCTGCACACGAGGGGTGAGCCTTGTTGAATGTGATTTGTATTACTTGATTTGTTTTGTTTTTTTTGTTTCCATGTGTAGTTTATTGCGTGTTCTTTTCATTTCTTTTTCTAGCTGTGTGTATTTTTTAATTTAATTTTTTGTTTATTCATCAGGAAAAAGATAATTTTATTTTCTAGCTGCGTATTTCTTTTGTTTTATTTAATTTTTGTTTATTTATCCGGAAAAAAGAAAGAGCTTTTCGATTGTTTCCTTTCGTCACAAAGCGAACGATATTAAATTCTTCCAAAATTTACTTACACAGCTTCCCCCCCAAAAAAAAAAAAAATAATAATAATAATAATAACCAGGAAAAAAGAGATAGAACAAAACGTCTCAAAAAGATTCTTGCATCAGATTCACATTTGGCCCGAAAAAATATCGTGGTGAAACGCAAGTCAAATTCGACCTTAAATACAACAATTTTTGGCTTAGGTCTGGCCCCCCTTTCCCGTGGAAGAGATTTAGATACGTAACATGTATCACAGATTCTCTCCACAGACACGTTGCTATTTCTTGGACACAGGAATGGGTTAATGGGTTAATGAGTTAGTGGGTTGATGAGTTGTAGGGTTAATGGGTTGATGAGTTGGTGGATTAATGTGTTGGTGAGTTAATGAGTTGATTAGTTGATAGGTTAATGGGTTGGTGGGTTAATGAGTTAATGGGTTGATGGGTTAATGGATACAATTGCAGGGGAGCTGATGATCCTCGTTGAATACTGCCGATTCGGGAACATTCTGGACTTCATGAGGAGGAACCACAGGACCTTCGTGAACCAGCTCGACCCGGAGACAGACACCATCAACCCGTGCGTGGCGAGGCTGCCACAGAGAACTTCAGGTGGGGCCAGGGCGGCGTGCGTTTCGCGAGGTGTTTGAGCATTGGGATAATTGCGGTTATTATTATTGTCATCGTCAACATCATCTTCATCATTATCACTCTACTAATACCTGCATCTTAACCACCACCACCACCCTCATTAGCAGCAGCAGCAGTAGTAGTAGTAGTAGTACCACCACCACCACAAGCACCACCATAAGCACCACAAGCACCACCACCACCATCACCATCATCACCACCCTCGCCGCCACCACTACCCCCATCATCACCATGATCATCACCAGCCTTCATCACTCCTATCGCCACCTACTAACGTCCTCCACGACGCCAGGAACTCCGTCTCCGACATCGTGTACATCAGCGAGGGCCGCGTCGCCTTCCAGAAGATCGACAGCAACGCCACCTGTCCTGGCATCTTCCCGACGTCTCGCGAGGTATGGAGGATGGATGATGAATAGTGCATGAGGCTTTCGAATTACTGAAATTGTTTTTGATGGTGTATATTGTAAATAGATCTTTTCCTTCTAGAGATAAAGTGACTAGGCTTATGCGTTAATTCTGTATATAGTCACTTCTTGCTTCTGAGTGAATATATACGAAAAGATACCTTTAACATCAGGTTCACATTTCATTGTAGAATAACTCTCAGTATAACAAATAATCATGAAACACTGAGCAAGGATCATTGACATCGTTAGCGAAATCTCTTCATGGCGCAGGTGCTTCTGGGCAGCACGCAGCAGTCCCAGGCTTTCACCAACGTCGACTCCGAGATGAGTACTGTGACGCTGAGTAAGATCCTCTTGTTACTGTAATTGTTTTTGTTAGTATCATCTTTACTATTACTGCTGGTATGGTGGTAGTAGAAGTACTTTGCTAATCGTGCTACCATTTATAGTAGTAACTGTAGCATTGTCATGAATGAGACTTGCATTTAGTAGATTATGGACACCTCTAGTCAATACAGTATTTGTTTCTCGGGCAGCAACTATGAGCAAAATTACAAACATTTGCAGAAACTTCCTCGGGATAACAATGAATTTATCCACTCTTTTCACGGAAAGTATCCAGTTCTTTAACTTTTCGAACGTATTAAATCCGCGGCCCTTCCCTTTTGTTGCCAGTCAGTGACACGCACAACATGGAGGCTCCCAGCGCCCCGTCCGACCCCGAGGAGAGAGACAAGCCCTGTGTTCCCGAGATCTCCTGTGCTGGGCCTTCCAGGTGGCGCGAGGCATGGAGTACCTCGCGTTCAAGAAGGTATTCGGAGGGCACGTCGTGAATAGAAGCCGTTTCTTAATTTCGTTTTTTTTCTTCTTTCTTTCTTTTTCTGCGTGTGCGTGTATATAATTCCCATGTCCGTTTATTCCATATGTGGCGTTTGTTTTTTGTTCTTTTATTGTTTCAAATGATTGATGTTAATTGAAATTTATCTATTTAAGAAGTAAAATGTGGTTTTTGATCATTAAGTTAGTCCTTTTTAAAGTTTGAAAGGCACGTGTAAGCATTAAAAATGATAAATCTTTTCCACTATCACTTTTTTTTATAATCTAGCATGAAAAAACATCCATGATAATTTCGGATGATCATTAGCACAAGAATGAATCCCCTCTTATCACAACTAACATCATTCGCACCTTTCCCTCTTTCCCCCCTTCATTCATCCATCCCTCCCTTTATCTAATTATTTCCCTTTCCATCCTACTTTCCCTCTCCATCCCCGAGGTGCTGCACGGCGATCTGGCGCGAGAAACATCCTGCTGTGCGAGAAGAACGTCGTCAAGATCAGCGACTTCGGACTCGCCAAGGACATCTACAAGGACGAGAATTACAGGAAGAGCAAGAACGTTAGTGATGAATTTAGAGGGTTGAGTTCTTGGACTGAGTTGCGAGTGCTATTTTTCGGGTACTGTTTCGAATGCTGTGTTTCGGGTACTGTTTCGAATGCTGTGTTTCGGGTACTGTTTCGAATGCTGTTGTTTCGGTGCTGTTTCGAATGCTGTGTTTCGGGTAGTTTCGAATGCTGTGTTTTGGGTACTGTTTCGAATGCTGTGTTCGGGTAGTTTCGAATGCTGTGTTTGGGTACTGTTTCGAATGCTGTGTTTCGGTAGTTTCGAATGCTGTGTTTCGGTGCTGTTCGAATGCTGTGTTTCGGGTAGTTTCGAATGCTGTTTCGGGTGCTGTTTCGAATGCTGTGTTTCGCGGTAGTTTCGAATGCTGTGTTTCGGGTGCTGTTTCGAATGCTGTGTTTCGGGTAGTTTCGAATGCTGTGTTTCGGTGCTGTTTCGAATGCTGTGTTTCGGGTACTGTTTCGAATGCTGTGTTTCGGGTGCTGTTTCGAATGCTGTGTTTCGGGTAGTTTCGAATGCTGTGTTTTGGGTACTGTTTCGAATGCTGTGTTTCGGGTAGTTTCGAATGCTGTGTTTTGGTACTGTTCGAATGCTGTGTTTCGGGTAGTTTCGAATGCTGTGTTTTGGGTACTGTTTCGAATGCTGTGTTCGGGTAGTTTCGAATGCTGTGTTTCGGGTGCTGTTTCGAATGCTGTGTTTCGGTAGTTCGAATGCTGTGTTTCGGGTGCTGTTTCGAATGCTGTGTTTTCGGGTAGTTTCGAATGCTGTGTTTTGGGTACTGTTCGAATGTTGTGTTTCGGGTACTGTTTCCATGCTGTTTTCGGGTACTGTTTCCAATGCTGTGTTTCGGGTACTGTTTCGAATGCTGTTTCGGTAGTTCGAATGCTGTGTTTTCGGGTACTGTTTCGAATGCTGTGTTTCGGGTACTGTTTTCGAATGCTGTGTTTCGGTACGTTTCGAATGCTGTGTTTCGAGTACTGTTTCGAATGCTGTGTTTCGAGTACTGTTTCGAATGCTGTGTTTCGGGTACTGTTTCGAATGCTGTGTTTCGGGTACTGTTTCGAATGCTGTGTTTCGGGTACTGTTTCGAATGCTGTGTTTCGAGTACTGTTTCGAATGCTGTGTTTCGAGTACTGTTTCGAATGCTGTGTTTCGGTACTGTTCGAATGCTGTGGTTCGAGTATTGTTTCAAATGCTGTGTTTCGGGTACTGTTTCGAATGCTGTGTTTCGAGTACTGAGTTTCGAGTGCTAAGTTTTGAATGCTGAGTTCCGAATGCTGCGTTTTTGAGTGCTGTGTTTTGAGTACTGAATTTCGAGTGCGAGTGCTAATTTGAGTGCTGAGGGAATGGGGATTGGAATGTTGAGGTGATGGTTGTAGGAGTTTAGTTTTGTTATTGTGGGTTGATTTTTTTTCTTTTTTTTCTCCTCTTCCTGCTCTTCTTTATCAACTTCCTCTTATTTTCTTTTTTTTCTTATTCCTTTTTCCTCCTCCTCCCCCCCTTCGTCCTCGTCCTGTTCTACTCCTCCTCTTTCTTTTTCCTCTTCTTCCTGCTCCTCCTTTTTCTTCTTCTTCTCCTCCTCCGTCGCCTTCTCCTCCTCCTCTTTCTTCCTCTTCTTTTTCTCCTCCTCCTCCTCCTTCCTTCTTCCTCCTCGTTCTCCTTCCTCCCTCCTCCTCCTCTCCTCCTCCTCCCTCCTCTCCTCCTCCTCCTCTTCCACCTCCTCCTCCTCTTCCACCTCCTCATCCTCCTCTTTTTCCACTTTCCTCCTGCAGGCGCCACTGCCGGTGAAGTGGATGTCCGTGGAAGCGCTCCGGGATGGAATCTTCTCGACGCAGAGTGACGTGTGGGCCTTTGGAGTTGTCGTGTGGGAGATGTTCAGGTATTTATACTTTCCTGGGGATTCAGGCATTTATAATTTCTTGAGGATTTAGTATTTATACTTTCCTGGGGATTAAAGGTATTTATACTTTCACGGGGATTCAGGCATTTATAATTTCTTGAGGATTTAGGTATTTATACTTTCCTGGGATTAAGGTATTTATACTTTCACGGGGATTCAGGCATTTATAATTTCTGAGGATTTAGGTATTTATACTTTCCTGGGGATTCAGGCATTTATAATTTCTTGAGGATTTAGGTATTTATACTTTCCTGGGGATTAAGTATTATTCTTTCACGGGGATTCAGGCATTTATAATTTCTTGGGGATTCATGTCTTTATACTTTCACGGGGATTCTGGCATTTATATTTGGGGGATTAGGTATCCATTCTTTCCTATTGATTCAGGTATTAATATTATCTTGGAAATTCAGGTATTTATACTTTATTGGAGATTCAAGTACTTTCATTTTCTTGGAGATTCAGGTATTTATACTTTATTGGAGATTCAAGTACTTCATTTTCTTGGAGATTCAGGTATTTATACTTGGAAATTCAGATGTTTATATTATCTGGGAGAGATATCAATTCCGTTTGTGTATTCTTACATTATTTATTTCTTACTCTTATTCTCATTTATTATTATTATTGTATTATGTAGTTGACTCGATTTCTTTGCTCTTGATTATGGATTCCCTTAATCACGTGTTTTTTTCTTATGAATTCCTTTCCTTCTGTTTTCTGTTTTATTCCGTCTTATTTATACATATTGGCCAACTGTTTTTTCCAGAAAATAACTGAATCGATTTTACTATCTATGTATTACTATCTTTTATATACCTACCGACTTATCTTTTATATGTATATCAATCTACCTGCCTACCTACCTACCCATCTATCTATCTAAACATCCATATATCTACCTACCTTGTCATTAATCTTCATACCTCCCTATTTATCTAAACATCCATATATCTATCTACCTTCTCACCAATCTACATACCTGCCTACCTATCTAAACATCCATATATCCACCCATCGACCTCTCTATCTAAATATCCATATATCTAACTACTTATCTATCTATCTACTTACCTATCTAAATATCCATATATCTAAATACTTATCTGTCTATCTACTTACCTATCTAAATATCCATATATTTAACTACTTATCTATCTACCTACCTATCTAAATATCCATATACCCACCATCTACCTACCTATCCATCTAAATATCCATATACCCACCCATTCTACCTACCTATCCATTTAAGTATCCATATACCCACCCATCTACCTACCTATCCATCTAAATATCCATATACCCACCCATCTACCTACCTATCCATCTAAATATCCATATACCCACCCATCTACCTACCTATCCATCTAAATATCCATATACCCACCCATCTACCTACCTATCCATTTAAATATCCATATACCCACCCATCTACCTACCTATCCATTTAAATATCCATATACCCACCCATCTACCTACCTATCCATCTAAATATCCATATACCCACCCATCTACCTACCTATCCATCTAAATATCCATATACCCACCCATCTACCTACCTATCCATCTAAATATCCATATACCCACCCATCTACCTACCTATCCATCTAAATATCCATATACCCACCCATCTACCTACCTATCCATCTAAATATCCATATACCCACCCATCTACCTACCTATCCATCTAAATATCCATATACCCACCCATCTACCTACCTATCCATTTAAATATCCATATACCCACCCATCTACCTACCTATCCATCTAAATATCCATATACCCACCCATCTACCTACCTATCCATTTAAATATCCATATACCCACCCATCTACCTGCCTATCCATCTAAATATCCATATATCCATCCATCTACCTACCTACCTATCTATCTATCCACCTCCTTCGCAAACAGCCTCGGGCGGACTCCCTTCCCCGGCATCTCCGTCGACGAGAATTTTGTGAAGAAGCTGGAGTCGGGGTTGAGGATGGAGCGGCCACGGTTCGCCACGGGGGACTTGTGAGTTCTTTTGTTTTTGTTTTTTGTTTTTTCGTTGTTTTTTGTTGCTTGAGGTGTAGATGGTGTTGTCATTGTATATATATATATAATATATATATATATATATAATATATAGATAGATAGATAGATAGATAGATAGATAGATAGATCGTTTTTTTTTTCTTTTTCTTTTCTTTTTTTGCTTTGCTTTGCTTTGCTTTTCGCTGTGTTTTTTGTTGTTTTTGTTTGAGGAGTACATGTTGGTGTTGTTGTTTTTTTATTTTTTTATTCGGCTCGATTGTGCATGTTTTTTGGGGTTTATGATTGGATGCAGTCGTTGTTGATGTTCATTGTCAGATTTTTTTTCTGTGTGAATTGCCATAATTGTGATGGCGCATAGGCTTGGGAGGATTTGGCACGCCCCGATTATAGCAGGGTATATTTAGAGAGGTAAAAGGGTCCGCATCTTCGTATATATATATATAATATATATATATAATATATATATATTATATATATAGATAGATAGATAGATAGATAGATAGATAGATAGATAGATATAGATAGATATAGATATAGATATAGATATAGATATATGTATATGTATATTATATAGATATAGATATAGATATATGTATTATATAGATATAGATATAGATATAGATATCAAACCTTGAGTGATTTTTTAGTGGGGATGATGTGTGTCATACGCTGCTAAAAACTGTATTTCGCCGTCGCTACTTGCCTTTTTATGAAGATAATGATTATATAAGAATAAATAACGAGAGACAAATGCACCAACAATTCCCAATGACCATTAACCTCGCCGTCCAACGCTTCACCATAAACCACCACCATCGCCAACAACCACGACGCACAATACGTGATCTAAGGATGCCCATCTTTTCTTCTCCTGCAGATACAAGGTCATGCACGACTGCTGGAGGACTAAGCCCGAGGGACGGCCCTCCTTCGGGAGTTGGAGAAGACCTTGAGCCGGATGCTGAGCGAAGGGGACAGGGCGGTGAGGGCGTGTGTGTGTGTGTGTGTGTGTGTGTGTGTGTGTGTGTGTGTGTGTGTGTGTGTGTGTTGTGTGTGTGTGTGTTGTGTGTGTTGTGTGTGTGTGTGTGTGTGTGTGTGTGTGTGTTGAAATGTCTTGTTAATTCAAACCTTCATATGCACATGAGAATCGATATATATATATGACTAAACTGCCTTAATGTGAAAATATCGACGTTTATATTACAGTTGAAAGCTTGAATTAACAAAATATTTGATAAACGCAGTTGGTCTGAGAACACCTTTGCACTCGCATACCTTCATATATTTACACATACACATATGTGTATTTGTATTACCATTTGCAGTATCAAAGTAGAATGTATTCGTGTATTCCATAAATGGTCATCAACAATATCAAAATTACATAATTTCTCTTTTGTCATTGGTTCGTACCCTTCCAAGGCTAATTCCACACCAAAATCATAATCACGAGTATCACTACAAGTCAAAGCCGATTGGGGGCGGCACCTTCTCTGCCTTACGACTCCCTCTCCACAGTATCTGGACAAGATCCAGGAGCCCTACAACGAGGAGGACGCGGCCGGGGACGAAGGCCACAGTTTCTACATGGACATGGCGTGCAAGCCCACACGCTGCGACCCCGTGCAACAGGAATCCCCCGCGTCTCCCGAAGTCGGTTCCTCGGCTGTAGACACCCTCAAAGCACAACTCCGGCCGCCTCGTCCACGCTGCAGCCGCCTTCGACGTCCTCGGGTCTCCGCCCTTCGACGCCCGCGAGTCTTGAGCCCTCGACGGATGCGAAGAAAGGCTACGTGGTCCTGGCGTCGCTGGGTCGCCTCCTGGGCCAGAGGGAGGCGGGCAGCCCTTTCGAGGAGGAGGGCCCCGTCTACAAGAACATCGAGGGCGCCAGAGACAGGCAGGAGCTCGCCCAGGATGAGTGTGTGAATGTGGAAGACCTTTTCCATTCGGATTAGCCTTTTCTTGCACAGTTGCGTTGGCTTTTTTTTTTTTTTAGTTTCCTTTCGACTTATTTTTATCTTATCTCTCACTGAAAACTTTGAACAAAAATTGCAATAGATAATAGGTAGAAAGATCCAGGGGCGGTTCTCACGAAGGGTCTTTGCGATTTCGTCTATGGTTTGCCACTTTGCCACGTGTCAAAATTAATGCTAGTTACAGAACAAACATTTAAATCATTGCAGACCCTATTTTGATATTCTGTTGTGATAGGTAAATATGACAATAAATCTTGCTTATATCATAATCTTGCACAGTTAGTATGTTTAAATGTGACCTGGCATCCCTACGCGTATTGTCATTGCATCGGTTGTAAAGACGAGCAGCGTTATTTTGTATGCTTAAGAAAAGGCAGCATGAGATATGTAGGAGACGGCTCAATTAAATATTAATAATCTATCAAAAGTGACCTCGAAGCTTTTACTTATTATTTCCAAAGGGGAATAGTGTGCAAGTGAGGAAAATTTGCATAAGGATAAATTAAAGACAGTCCTTCCATGTAAAGACAAAATTAACGAGAAAATATTAGTGAAATAGAAATGAGTAAATTAACGATAGACAATATATCAAAAAGGGCTTCCAAGTTTTTCTATCATATTCGATGCAGAATTATCTTTAAAGACAGTCCTTCCGCACGTGGAACACTTCCACACCTGCTCTACTACTTCGGCCGAGTCATAGATAAAAACTGCCTGTCAGAGACATATACGTGGTGAGTCATAGACAAATTTACCACGTCAAAGACAGATGAAGATAATCACAGATCAGTAATGACAAAGCGGCTTATTCTGATTTATTGTCAACCATTCATTTATCCGCTTTCTACATATTTACAGCACGTTTCTATTCGAAAATGCAAATGGCGCCGCGCGGCTTCACAGCTGGTGCAATGACAACAAGGTTTTAGCTAAATGTATAGAATATGTGATACTAGTATCATTATAGAAGTAAGTTTCATTAAGTGTGTAGTTTGAACATATTGCTGCAATCAATTATCTGCATAGTCTACAACGTTGTAAATGTTTGTTCTATTACCAGCTCCATATTTGATGTAAGTCATAGGCAAAATCGAAAAGAACAGTCATAGACCTTTCGTGAATCCCGCAATCCTTGCTCAGTTGAAACAAGATCTGAAGCGAAGGGTCCAAGTAGCAGATGACAAACACTTACTGTCAAGGGCTACGTACATATCTAAGAATGGCATAGCGTTATTCTAAGTTGATGATTCACTATTCGCTTGTCACAACGCAAATGCTAAACTAGTTAAGGGTGGTTCAGGATTTTTTTTTTTTTTTTCAAAATTTTCACGTGCGTACAAAGCGCACGAGGGAATTAAACCTGCTCGCACGTTTTTATAAAACTCTATGAAAAATGTCGATGTCGTATCGAAGGCTCTGTATCTGTGGCAGATTATGATACCTGGTCCTGATACCTATTCCAATTGAAAATAATCCTGATGCTTCTCCCAAGTGAAAATGACCCCTAACTATGAAAATGAGCCTGTATGAAGCTTTTAGGGGGTAACATGACTATCAGGAACATTTTCAGCAGCAAAAATGTCTCTGTACACTCGTGAAAATGTTGGAAATGTTGAACCTTTGTACGGATTAAGACACGGATCTCAAGACCAACGATTGCTGCAATCCACACTGTTCAAAGTCCATCACAGTTTTTGAAATTCAAACGAATAGTTACTGTCGTCAGACCATCTCATAATTTCCGAGATTACCTCAATTCAATAGGCCAAATCTCTTGTGTTCGAAAATCAAAAACGTGTTACATAAAACCATTGTGAGTGGACCAAGATTAACGCTTTCATAGGAAAAGGGATTATTTCATATTTGAAGTCATCGTCACGAACAGTATTTAGGTTGTTTGGTGAGACACGGTGTTAACAGTGACTTCAGCACTTCCATACCTATTTGGGGATGCAGGACACGTGTCGTTGTCAGGTATCGAAACATATCAGTGGATAAGTTTGGTGATAGATTGTGTTACATAAAGGTGTCTTTTGGGTTTAATGATTTTCACATTAAGTGAACTTTGAAGACTTTTTTTTTGTATGAATACTGATTTCATATTTGTCTAATATTCACTCATATTATGTAATTCGGTGATGTTTAAAACGAAAAAATATGGTAAAGTGAGATCTTTTTGGTCATATGAAATATTGTTCAATAAAATTGATATAGATTATTTAATTTTAGAATTCACTCATAAGCTCGAAATCGTGCGCACGCACACATACATACACACTAAAAAACACACACATGCAGACAGGCCTACGCAAAACGGAACATTTACAGGAAAATGAAACACGTGTCAATGCAACTCTGATTCCTAAACAATGCATTTCATAAAGACTGAAGCCTGATTGATGTCTGATTGTAATAAATCATAACTGTACAACTCATTTCAGTCTAATTCATTTACCCTTTTAGGCTTTGGATATCACATACTATGAACGTTATCGGACATGCTGTTTTTTTTTTTTTTTTTTTTTTATCAGCAAAACCATGGAAGACATTCGAAATGGGTTGGCATTTGCTGAAAAGCTCCGTCACTCCACACACACGCAAACA